CAAACCAGGATGCAGCACGACCAACTTTACCGTCAGTCCCTCCCTTTGGACTCCTACGTACGAATCCCACCCTCCTGAGTTTTCCCTTCTTACCACTTCATCCAACTTTCTAGGAATTTCTCCAGTTTAGACCTCGAAGGCCTTCGTCGAACGGAGGGGTTTGTCTCCAACGAGCTCTTAAAATCACCTATCGAAAACATTATACAATTGTGTGTGGCGCCGCCAAGTGAGAAAGGGGTGTGCAGTACATGTGAAACGGAAAAAAATTACCGCGTCTTGGAAAAATTCCTATCAAAGCCAAATTGGCCCCAACCGACCAACGACCCAGCTCCAGAGCTACCAAATACGACCCTCTGATGGGATCCTCTCAACGATGCTGAACCTTGTCCAAGATGCCCCTCCCCATCCACGCAACACTGGTGTCTTAGGAACTGAATTGTGTCCCGGAACTGAACTGTGTACCAGGACAGTTAATAAGTTACCCTTAGTTTTCGTGAGCCTTTGTTCACGTGCAAACGTTCACAGCAGTGAACACTTCCTTGAAGAACTATGGGTGGGTGCCAGAACAGAGACGAACACGTTTTCCACGGTAATAGATAACAATGATAATCGGTCGGCGCGGTGCCAATCACTGGCCTTCTTTTCCGTTCCTAGAATACTGTAAAATTGCACTTGTGCAAATGTTCTCTTCTTTTGAGCATCACTTCTACTTACCTCCCTATCTTCCGATTGTTCGAACTTTCAGATAGCAATCGTTCTGATATGTTGCGCAATTTGGCTTGTGGCGGGAGGGGGGGGGGTTGCGTTTCCGTCGAAATGTTCGTTGCTTTACAAGAGAGACGGATATTCTTTACAAGAGTTGACAAGTGGTTTCTGGAAACTTTGACTGCTTCCCAAGATTTCACAAGTCTCCACTTGAAGGCTCGACACGACAATGGGAAGTAGCGGAGGTGCAAATGCTCCATCCCCGAACTGCGCTTGAGATATTTCCTCCCGTGACGGGCCAATTTACCCAAAGAAGTCAGAAGTGCCGTTCCGAACAGCTGTAGTGGTCGTGTCAAGCTCGTTGTACACTCTTCTGAAACTGTGCAGTTTGTTTATCACATTCCTCCATTGAGTTAGAAGTGGTAGTAATTGGAACATCACGCTCCAGACAACAATATGCATGGGGAGGTCTTCCCAAAAACCACTTCTGATTGGGTTCAGAAATTCCCTTCAGAAACTGGTTTCCTCTCGAATTGTTTCCTTCTCTGCTGTTGGATTGGTACTGAACTGTTCGTCTAGTAGTGTCCGCCTAGGCATTTATTGCTGTAATTCTGTTCAGACCATGGAACAATAAATGCCGACTATTCAGACCGACCTGTTCTCCTTTTCATCATTACATTTGTAATCGCCAGGCACTTTACCCTGTTAGATGTGCTTTTTGGATAATAGAGCCAGTTAAGCGCTTGCTATTCACCAAAACTGAAATCGAGACGCGATCTATTCAACCGGGTGATCTATTCAAACAGGACTTGTCCTGGCACCCGAATGGATATTTCTTGTGGGCCATAACTCGCAGCAGTCGGCCACGAGAATCCTTCTCTGACCTCTGACGGCTGTGATGGCTGTGATGATAAACAGCAGCTTCGAAGCCCAGGCTAGTCTGACCAAGACTCGGTCAGATGCAAGTGTCTCAGCAAACGAGCGTAGTAGCGGCAT